AAGATAAACAATTCCCTGTCAGAGGTGGCCATTTCATATTGGAGCTAAATCAGCCTGCTACTGAGTAGTGCTCCCAGTCTTAATGACAAAAGAAGATGCATTCTACTTCACCCAATCTCAGTATGGATGTCAAATCTCCTTTGATGAACTCTACTCATCCCCAGGACAGACACCATCAACATGCTCTACAAGCTTGATACCCTGATATGATTGAGTGGATATAAGAAAGAAGAAGAGACTCATCCCCAGCACAGACACCATCAACAAGCTCTACAAGCTTGATACCCTGATATGATTGTTGAGTGGAGATAAGAAAGAAGAAGAGACTCATCCCCAGCACAGACACCATCAACAAGATCTACAAGCTTGATACCCTGATATGATTGAGGGGAGATAAGAAAGAAAGAAGACACATCCCCAGCACAGACACCATCAACAAGCTCTACAAGCTTGATACCCTGATATGATTGTTGAGTGGAGTGGAAATAAAAAAGAAGAAGAGACTCATCCCCAGCACAGACACCATCAACAAGCTCTACAAGCTTGATACCCTAAAATTATTGAGTGGAGATAAGAAAGAAGAAGAGACTCATTCCCAACAGACACCATCAACAAGCTCTACAAGTTTGATACCCTGATATGATTGTTGAGTGGAGATAAGAAAGAAGAAGAGACTCATTCCCAACAGACACCATCAGCAAGCTCTACAAGCTTGATATCCTGATATGATTGAGTGGAGATAAGAAAGAAGAAGAGACTCATCCCCAGCACAGACACCATCAACAAGCTCTACAGACTTGATACCCTGATATGATTGTTGAGTGGAGATAAGAAAGAAGAAGAGACTCATCCCCAGCACAGATACCATCAACAAGCTCTACAAGTTTGATACCCTGATATGATTAAGTGGTTTAAATTTTAAGTTCTTGGATTTCAATAATAGAACGTGATTATGTTTAAATTGACGTCTGGGCGACACATACCTGGACGCCCGCCGACACGTTTCGTGGACCAATTAAAGGAACTCGCTGGTTTGACGGTCACCGAGATGGTACATCGAGCTCAAGACAGAGATGGCTGGTGTCGTGTTTGGGATGTAATACGTACAGTACAACGTTCGATCGCGAATAAAATGATTTATGTATTATGTTCGAATAGTGAAAAAAGAATTCTCATTGTCTGGTAAAGTATCGCTTTCTAGTCAATGAGATATCACCGTTGAGGTAAGACTCCATAGTAGTTGATGTATGAAAATACCGTAGTGAGAATAGGGTAGAGCATTTCTTATCTTACAAAGTCCAACTGTATAGACACAATTGACAATTAAAATAATTTTATTTGGAATTTTGTCAATACATGAAAAGTACACAGTATGTACTATTTTAAAAAGATAATTATACAGGGTGTACCAGGTAAATAGGGACTAACTTTGACAGTCCATAAAACAAAAACTACTTGAGATTAAAAACTTGTTTTTTTTCATTACGTAGCCATATTCATGTAAAATGCAACAGTACATGTGTGCGCAGTGTAGTGATGAAGAGTAACCGAGAATTTGAAAATCGAGCTGCCATCATCGTTGCTCTGCGCGCCGGAAGGAGCCCCAAAGAGATAGTGGATTTTCTTAAGTTGCCCAAAACCACTATTTATCGTGTCAAGAAGCAGTTTGATGAGGCCGACAGTAACAAAGAGAGGATAGCTACAAGGAAAAAGCACTGGCGTCGATCGGACAGGGTAAGAGGCGAAGAATTTGTCAAAAATGTCAAGGAGAAGATTGATGGAAACCTTGGGAAGAGCATGAGGGCCATAGCTAAGGAAATGGACGTTGGCTCTATGACAATTGTCAGAACTATCCATGAGGACCTTGGTCTCAAGTCTTATGCCCTTCGGAAAGGTCAGTTGCTGACTGAGAATATGAAGAATAACAGAAAAGGAAAGGCTGCTGCCCTCCTCAACAACCTGAAACACGACTCTTTTGGCATGCTAAGGTTCTTCTCTGACGTAAAGAACTTTGACGTGAACCAAAAGGTAAATCCCAGGAATGATCGCTGGATCTGTAAAGACCCCTCAGAGATACCTGTCGTGATGCACACGAAATTTCCTGCCTCCGTAATGGTCCTTGGCGTTATTAGCAGTGAAGGTGATGTCATGCCTCCCCATTTCTTTGAGAAGGGCCTTAGGATGAACGCTGACACCTACATCAATGTTCTGGAGACCGTTGTGAAGCCTTGGATGGACATGGTGGCCGCAGGAAGGAAGTGTGTCTTCCAACAGGACTCAGCTCCAGCCCATAAGGCAAAAAAGACACAATCGTGGCTGACACTTAACGTCCCTAGTTACTGGGGTCCTGATATTTGGCCCCCTAATTCTCCAGATTGCAATCCCCTCGACTACTATGTATGGGGCGTTGTTGAGAGAGATGTCAACAAAGCTCCTCATACCACCATTCAGTCTGTCAAGAAAGCAGTTTACACGGTGATGACCCAAATGGACAAGGTCATCGTCGCCAAGGCCTGTGCTTCATTCCGCACTCGCCTCGAGACTGTTGTAGCTAATAATGGAAACTACATTGAATAAATAAAAACTATATCCTTTTATCTACTACTGTGTCAAATTTCATTCGGATATTTTAATTTTTACTTGCAAAAAATTTCAGTTAAAATACCATTGTTGAAATTCCCAATTTACCTGGTACACCCTGTATATATGTCATAATACAGGGTCCATTTTGAAATAAATGAGCATTTACTGGCAAAATACATTTATTGATCGTAATTTGTGCAAATGTTCAATATTCTTCAAAATACATTCCTCCTGCATCAATACACTTGCGGAGACGCGTTTGCCACGCCTGAAAGGCACCCTGAAACTCCTCGACAGGAATGCTTCTCAGGAACGTTGTAACATGGTGTTGGATGTTTTCCACGGTTTCCCAATGTTTTCCTTTCATCTCTTTCTTGAGTCGTGGAAACAAAAAGAAGTCACATGGAGCTAAGTCGGGACTGTAAGGGGGGTGAGGGATCACCGAGGTGTTGCTCCGGGCCAGGAAGTTGGTAATGATGAAGGCTGTGTGGCTGGTGGCATTGTCATGGTGGAGCTTGACCGTGTCTTTAATGTCAGTCCGCACGCGTGCGATCCGGCGTTTCAATCTCCTGAGCACCTCCAGGTAAAAGGCTGAGTTTACAGTTTGTCCCTGCGGAACAAACTCACAATGGACTATTCCTCGGATGTTAAAGAAGACAATGATCATCATTTTGATGCGCGACTTGCTCATTCGCGCTTTCTTGGGGCGTGGGGATGATTTTGTGTGCCATGCACAGCTCTGCCTTTTCGACTCTGGGTCGTATTCAAACATCCAGGATTCGTCTCCGGTTACTACAGAGTTCAGAAAGTCCGGTTCATTTTGAATCAAATCCAACAATTCTTGACAGCGCAAAACTCTAAGTTTTTTCTGGTCTTGCGTTAACACTTTCGGCACAAGCTTCGCACAGACCTTACGTATTTGCAGATCCTCGGTCACTATCCCATGTACCACAAATGTGGACATGTGTAATGTGTCAGCAATTTGCTGGATGCTTAATCGACGGTCGGTACGCAAAACTTCGAGCACACGATCCACGTTCTCGTCAGTTCTGGCCGTTGTTGGGCGTCCTGAACGGGGTTCGTCGGCGACCTCCTCCCGGCCCTCCTTGAACGCCTTGTGTCACTTCCCAGACTGTGATCTTGAAATGCAATCGTCTTTGAAGGCTTTTTGCAGCATCTGGAATGTTTCGGTTGCATTTTTTCCAAGCCTCACGCAAAACTTTATGGCGTATCGTTTTTCAAGCGAACGCTCCATCGCGCTATGTTACAAAAGTTGAAAACACACTTCAAGCGGAGGCATGTATCTCCCCTCACACTGCTCGAATCCAATTGACGACCGGATGGATTGAAAGGGCATATCCCTCCACCACATTTTCTACGGTTTTACCGTGCTGCCATCTATCGTCGCGTCACAATAACATTATGCTCATTACTTTCATAATGGACCCTGTATATACTCTTCCAGGAATAATAAAGCCAACCTACAGACAACCCAGAGAGAGACGGGAGGGTAAAGTCACTTGAGACACCAGCGACATTCCAAGGGGTGACCACTGGGGCCCGTCAGTTAACACCTTAGGACTTTTAACAAAGTTGGGGATTGTGTGGGACACGAACGGCCACCCGGCTGTGCCAGTCCCATCTCTCTCTCCTGGCTGTCTAGGTCCCTCTTTCAAATTGTGATTATTTCTCTTCCCGCCTTATAATACCACATATATATGCATCATACTATGTACAATGTTCATGGCGCCTCTGCCACGGCTGCAGAGTTTGGTGGAGAATCGCTAGTGGGTCTCCTGCGACACCACGTATTTGGTGATCTACGGAGAAAATATAGATCGCTGTTGAGGAGCTGGCCACCTTCGCCGCTGAAGAGAAGGTGATGGCGTGGTCCTCGAGACCAACTGGAAAGATCCAGGATTACAGGTCCGGCCGATGATGGAGAACATCTGTCGGATGACAGGACGAACGGCGCTGCAGGATCAGTAGCTGTGGGCCAGGTCGCTTAGGTGGCATGCGATGTATGGGCAATGGGGGTGTAGCTCAGTGACAATTTTTGACAATTAAAAATAGTCTATTGACATCTAGTCAACAGTAGGGAGAAGGTTTACAGCCATTTTTAAAATAGGAAGAACTATATACAACAGACGGAGGGACGTCTGGATTTCATCAGGAGCTTAAAGCCGCCTTAAGTTCGGACAGTCCGTTGCGGATTATGAAATCCATGTCCCCAGCATGCTCGATGACAGTGTTGAGGAATTAGACAAGAATAATCTTGTGTTCAGGCGAGAGATTTTTTTAGATAATTTCTATCATCGCGGTGTAGAATCGCTAATCTCTGGCCTGACCCACTTTGTTTCATATAGGGGGCTCAGGATATCGTTCAGTAGTTCGAGTAGATCGTTTATCTGGTACTTGCTGGTGTAGCTCAGTGGTAGAGCGCTCACTTCACATGTAAGAGGCTCCAAGTTCAATCCCCGAAATCTCAACTGAATAGAAATGTGCGAAGAAGCAAGTTTCCTCAGCCAACAAGGAACCCCTTGGTGTGTAGATAACTTCACCCCCGCAGTGCTCATTTCATTCCCGGAATTTCCTCCTACTGGAATCTGTGCATAGGTTTGATAGCTATGTTGATAGCGTATCTACCTTCTTACCTAACTTCTTTATTTAGTGTTGCGTATAAGGCCTCAAAACACCTACAACCTCCGCCAATAGATGGCGCTTTCGCCTGTTTCCGATCTGAAACTGGTGTGGATATCGCTGACTGCTGTGTTTCCTGGGGAAAATGTTTGTAAATACACGTTTATATTGGCCCTAGGAGGTAACGTAATGTAAATACCCGTTGATTGTTATTCTAGGTATATGTAATGTGTAGTAGAAATGACAATAAAAGAAGAGGAGTGTTAGAAGTCTTGTTGCCGGTTGCTGTTGTTACTCTCGCCAACGCCACAGTCACTACTCTTCTGGTAAGTCTCTCTGAGGTCAGCAGGGAAGAGCTGCAGAGGAGAAGCAACGGGAGCCCGGGTAGGTTGTAGCGGCTCCCAAATATTAACTTTTCATATTTTCATCATAAGTTTTAATAACTATTTAATTCAAATATTAAATTAAAATATTCATCTTATAAATATATAATGCTCATAGAATATACTTTATTAAAATTATATTAATTAACATTTATTTGTGGTCATAATAATATAATAAAATAATTATACATCATTCTAAATATAAATATACACTGCGTGACATTGAAAATGGAACACCAAGAAATAGTGGCCAGAAAGTGATGAAACTCGGCAGACAGAGAGAGACAGGGACGAACAATAAGTGATCTTTATTTCAAAATGATAGTCATAATACAGAGCGAGAACGGCGTCGGCTTAGTAGCAAGTAGGACCACCGCGGACGGCGATGCACGCAGCAACACGTCTAGGTAGAGAGTCAATCAGAGTACGGATGGCGTCCTGAGGGATGGCTCTCCATTCCCTCTCAACCATTTGCCACAGTTCGTCTTCTGAACGCGGCTGTGGCAAGGCATGCAAACGGCGTCCAATGATGTCCCAGACGTGCTCGATTGGTGAGAGATCAGGAGAGTACGGTGGCCAGGGAAGCATCTGTACATCTTGCAGAGCTTGTTGGCTAATGCGAGCAGTGTGCGGTCGGGCATTATCCTGCTGATAAAGGGCATTGGGTACCCCCTGAAGGTAGGGGAGTGTCACCGGTCGCAGCATATCATCAACGTATCGTTGGGCCGTCATAGTGCCCTGAATACGAAGTAAAGGTGACCTGGAATCATACGCGATTGCGCCCCAAACCATGATTCCACGTTGTCGCACGGTGGGGCGTTCCACAATTGCTGCCGGATTGAACCTTTCTCCACGTCGACGCCACACGCGTACACGGCGACTATCACTGGACAAGCAGAAACGCGACTCATCTGAGAACACGACCCTGTGCCATTCCGTCATTCACGTCGATCTAGCCCGGCACCATTCCAAACGTTGGCGCCTATTCGGTGGGGTCAATGGCAGTCTTCTTAGCGGACGGCATGAGTGCAAGCCATTAGCAACCAATCGACGGGAAATGGTTCTGGTCGAGATGGAATGATCTAGGGTGTCTTGCACATGTTGCAGGATGGCGGTACAAGTGGCTTGTGGGGCCGCCACTGCTTGTCGAAGGATACGCCGATCCACACGTGCTGACGTCACTCTGGTTGCACCGGCATTCCTATAAATTGCCACATTTCCTTGTTCCAACCATCTTCTCCACAGTCGGTGCACCGTGGACGCACTAAGGTGTGTATCAGCTGCGATTTGACGTATGGACCAACCTGCCCTTTTCAGTCCGATCACCATGCCCCTCGTAAAAGCGTCTGTCTGCTTGAACTGCCTCCGTTTACGATGACCTGGCATTCTCTGTTATTACACGTGTCTTTTGACACAAGAACAAAATTTCTACAATGATTTTCCTTGAAGAAATAACGACACGAATACTGTCCTTTCTGCAAGTTCCTTCCCTTATATCTTACTCCATGTGCGCACGAGAGCTGCGCATTTTACATCATTTGCATAACTCGGTTAGGCGCGTCTACCCTGAAATTTGCATAATTTTCTGGCCACTATTTCTTGGTGTTTCATTTTCAATGTCACGCAGTGTAAATCGTGTAAAATATAAATATTTATATATATGTCAAACACATATATTTTATAATATTGAAATGTTATTTGACCACCACACACAAAAACAAAAGAACGTCAACAAGTATACAACAATTTAACCCCTTCTGATAATTTGTATTAGATAAATGTAATTAAAAGTTGATTTTACGAAAAATAAATCGTTGTCCGACTCCGCTTGGAATAACAAACCAACCAGCAACAAGGTGATCCACGATGGAGGAAGCGGCGTCATCGCGAAAAACCGGAGAGGGGTCACGCGCGACAATATTCTTAGTTCCTAATAAATGTGTTTGTCTAAGAGAATACCAAGTTCTAAATTTATTAGGAGCCGCGCTCAAAAAAAAATAACAACAGTGTAGTGTATTAGCATATTTTGAATATTTGTAGAATTGCAAATATCCACTTTGCATACTAGATTGTTACTGTAGAAATTGAATATAAATAGAGGCAGCATAGTCAGTCAGTAGGATGTATCTATTCTGATATTTAAATAAACTGTATTGTAACAAAGTATTTATTATTTTATTAGCAGAGTATTGTTTTTTTATGTTTATATTTTGCTATACTCTGTACACTTCTCTAATTTTCCACGTGGCATTTTGGTGGAGATGCTGGGTAAATTAGGGAAGACAAACTGATGATTGCCGAGAAGACCTAGAGGCCATGGGTGCTGTGATCTACATTTTCAGAGATTGAATCCAGGATTCCAGCGCCGTGTCAAAGCCAAGACTTCCCACCAAAATGACAATGTCCCTATAGACGATACGACGACAAAGCCGCTCTTCACGCCGCAAGAAAAAGGACGCAAAGGTACTAGGGACAAAGTTCCAAGACTTCGATGGAATCCTTGGCAGAAGCACGTTAGATCCATGTCAGTATCTACAATAATTGCAAGCTGTGGGTCACAGCTCCCATAGGGAAGAAGCTATGTAACAAAGTATTTATTATTTTTGTTGGAGTAGCGATCGTTAGATCCCAAAGCTCAAACTCTTAACAATTTAACTGCAAGACTTTTGATTGAAGAAACAAGGAATCAACAAAGCGGTTCTTCTAAACAAGATGAGGCCTTATTACACAGGCAAGCACGAACTAAGCCTAAAGATACACAACGTTCTTTTCAAGATGCCAAGAAGAACACTAAATGCCACTATTGTCACAAAATTGGACATTGGAGCCGCGAATGTAGAAAAAGATTAGCTAATGAGAAAAATAAATCCAAAAATATTCATGATTCAAAAGGAAGTTCAAGTGATTATGGACTTATTTTGTGCGATAATCAAGTAGAGCCCAATGATATTTGGTATGCTGACAGCGGTGCAAGCTGCAGCATGACATTTCGACGAGAGTGGTTCAAGACCTACACGCCGTTCACCAGTGATCATCCAATCTACTTGGGAGACAACTCGACACTACTTGCAGAAGGCATGGGAGACATCGAGATTCAAGCCTACGTCGACGGTGGATGGTACAATACGTACATAAGAAATGTGCTCTACTCGCCGCAACTAAAGAAAAATTTGTATAGCCTTTCTACGTCCACAAGAAGAGGATTCAACGTCATTATCAAACATGACAAGCTACAGATCTTCATGGATAATGACCTAAAAGCCGTAGGAGTGCGTCATGACGGCCTCTACAGGATGCTCTTCAAGGTTACGTCATCATCACAAGGCTACATCACCAGCGAGAACAAGCTTCAGTTGTGGCACGAGAGACTTGCGCATCTTCCAGTTGCTACACTTCGAGAGATGGCGACCAAAGGATTGGTGGATGGTCTGCAGCCTCAAGATTTAGAGGGAGAATTTTTCTTCTGTGAAGGATGCCAACTTGGAAAAGCCCATAGAAAGTCGTGCTATCCCTCAGATTACAAAAACTACCAGCTAGGTGAGTTTATTTATGCTGATATTTGTGGCCCAATGCAGACTCAATCATTAAGTAAATATCTGTATTTCTGCTTATTTAAAGATTACTTTAGTGGTTATCGCCATATTTATTTTATTAAAAACAAATCAGATGTGCTAGATATATTCAAAGAATATGCTACTCTAATCTATACTCAAACTGGAAATAAGATAAAAGTTCTTAGGACTGATAATGCGCTAGAATTCAAAAGCGATAATTTTGAAGATTTATGTAAAAGATTTGGGATAATTGACGAGTTCACTGCACCTTATGTGCACGAACAGATAGGACGTATAGAAAGAGACAATCGTACGATTGTGGAAGCAGCCAGGTCCATGCTAAATTCACGAAATTTTTTGGGCTGAGGCATGTAACACAGCAACTCATATTCTAAATAGAAGTGCGACTAAGCAAACCCCTGGAACGACACCTTATGAACTTTTCTTTGGCACAAAGCCTAATGTAGCTAACTATAAAATATTTGGCTGTAATGCTTATATGCATATTCCCAAAGAAAACCGTAAAAAGTGGGATAATAAATCGATAAAACTTATGTTTTTAGGTTATGAGAATACAAGCAAAAATTTTAGATTATGGGATTGGAAAACTAGAAAAATTAGAATTTCTAAAGATGTCACATTCGATGAGAAAGCTACTCCAGATAGAGAATCTACCAAACCAAAAGAAATAATATTTCAGATTAACAGCGCTCCGGATGAATCACCAGTTGCGACAGCAAACATTCCAGTGCAGGAAATGCCGCCAGTATCCGATATCAGTTCGCATATCCAATGATAACACGCTCTAAAGTTTCGAATAGCCAATGTAACTTTGCGCTCGCTGATGAACCCAGTAACTATATAGATGCAATAACGAGTTCAGATTCAGAAAGATGGAAATTAGCCATGGATGA